GGAAATAGGATTTAAAAACCCTTAAATTCTTAGTAAAGTCAACTCTCATTGACATCTTTAAAGATAAGGCTCAGAGAGAAGTTATTTAAAGTTGGGGGAAAAAAGGAAACCTTATAGTCAATTTTCATAAATATCTGATTCTGTGGTCTTACCCTTGTGCTTTTGGTTAGTCGTTCTTGGAAAAGAACCAGATCTCTGCATTCCTACAATAATCCTTAAGCATTCTGGCAGTTAGCTGATTAATTTTCAAAATATGTTTTACACCCACATAAAATGAATGTCCTTTTTTCTTTGCGAACAAAGAGCTGGGAATGTATTCTTGAAGAGCAAAGCAGATCATGTTCTGTTTTTCTTTATAAATGGAAATCTCTTCTTGAGCTGAATATCATCTCCATTTTGAAAGAAGGGAAAGATCCCAGGACTGTGGAAAGTGAACTGAATATATGGGAAAATCCAGACAGGTGGGAATGTGTTGGGATGTGAGCACAAGTCAGAGCTCAGATGGGCACAGAGTAAGCAGCTCCAGTAAACATTGTTTGGGAAGGATCTGTGGGAAAATAAAAGCTTATTTCTTAGGAGCTTTCAAAGGAAATCTCCTGCCACCCCTACACACTTCTCATTCTGTTACTCAGATGAGTAAATCAAATATGTACAAGGTTAAACTCCAACTTTTAGAACCTATAACACAATTACCTGGCCTCTCTGACCATACTGGTTCCGAGCTTTCAGAGGGACTGGGATGGCTGTCCCTAAGGACTCTTTTCCCTGATCTCTCTTGGTTCTCATTCCATACAGGTCAGAGCTGAGGCCTCTGTAGTGCAGACCCCAGGACCTATTCACTTTCCATTTCCATTTTGTATCCTTGGGAGAACTTCTAAGGAGACAAACAAAATGTAATCAATGTCTAATAAAGTAGAGCTAAAGTTTATCTCTTTCTTTCCTGGGCCATCCTGGCTTCTTGAGGTCTGGTGCTTTTGCATTAATTAGGAGGAAGTCGTGATGTGGATAATTCCAAAAAGTGAAATTCCAAAATTAGATGTAATTTACATATAGCACAGCTTAACTGATATCTCTAGTTAGCTTTTCTATTGAAAAAACCTGTATTATTCCATAGATGTTTATTGTATTCTTAGTATACAGAAGGTACCATATTGATACATATATATATGTATGTATATATATATATATTTTTTTTTTTTCCTGCAGGAGGGGGGAGTTGTTTTAAGAACTCGACGCAGCAGCAATTTTTGTTTTGTTTTTAAGTAATCTCTGCACCCTTTTGATCCCTTCACCCATTTGTGCCACCATCCCCTCAACTTCCTGCCTCTAGTAACCACAAATATGCTCTATCTAAGAGGGGTTCTATTGTTTTTTTAAGATTCCACATATAAGAGAAATCATACTGTCTTGGTCTTGTACTCATTCTACTTGGTACAGTTTCCTCAAGGTCCGTCCCTTTTGTCACAAATGGCAAGATTCTACTCTTTTTTATGGCTGGATAATGTGTCATATACACACATCTTTATTTACCCATCAATGGACATTTAGATTGTGTCTGTATCTCAGCTATTGTAAATAGTGCTGCAGTGAACATTAGAATGTTTCTATCTTTTTGAGTTAGTATTTTGATTTCTTCAGATAACTACTCGGAATTAGAATTAGTGGATCACACAGTAGTGTGTGGCCACACCAATTTTGGCTCCAACCAATAGTGCACAAATTCTCCACCCATCACCAACACTTGTTTATTTCTTGTCTTTTTGATAATTGACATTCTAAGAGGTGTGAAATGAAACCTGATTGTGATTTTGATTTGCATTTCCTTGATGATGAATGATGTTGAGCATCTTTTCATGGTCCTGTTGGCCATCTCTAAGTCTTTGGAAAATGTCTATTCAGATCTTCTGCCCATTTCTTAAATTGGGTTATTTGAGCATTTTTGGGTAATACTTTAGATTACCAGTCCATTATCAGATACATGATTTGCTAATATTTTCTCCTATTCAGTAGGTTCCCTTTGTATTTTGTTGAAAAGGTGTTCTTTTGCTGTGCAGACACTTTTTAGTTTGATGTAGTCCCACTTACTTTTGGTTTTGTTGATTTATAATTTGGTGTCAGCAGTCAAAAAAACAAAAACAAGGGGCTCCTGGGTGGCGCAGTCGGTTAAGCGTCCGACTTCAGCCAGGTCACGATCTCGCGGTCCGTGAGTTCGAGCCCCGCGTCGGGCTCTGGGCTGATGGCTCAGAGCCTAGAGCCTGTTTCCGATTCTGTGTCTCCCTCTCTCTCTGCCCCTCCCCCGTTCATGCTCTGTCTCTCTCTGTCCCAAAAATAAATAAAACGTTGAAAAAAAATAAAAACAAAAACAAAACCATCATTCCCGGGATCTGTGTCAAGGAGCTCTTCCTATACCCCTATCTTATAGGAATTTTATGGTTTAAGGTCTTAAGTTTAAGTCTTTAATGCATTGTGAGTTAATTATCGTGTATGATGTCAGACAGTGGTCCAGTTTCACTCTTTTGCCTGTGGCAGTCCAGTTTTCCCAAACCATCTATTAAAGAGATTGTGCTTTCCCCATTGTATAGTCTTTTCTCCTTTGTTGTAAATTAAGTGACCATCTGTGTGAGTTTATTTCTGGGCTCTATTTTGTTTTGGTGATCTATGTGTCTATTAGATTTATGCTAATACCACACTGTTTTAATTACCACAGATTTGTAATCAGGGTGTTGAAATCAGGGAATGTGATGCCTCCAGCTTTGTTCTTCTTTCTCAAGATGCTTTCACTTTGCAGGGTCTTTTGAGGTTCCATACATATTTTAGGATTTCTCTGTTTCATGTGTAGGTTTTTATGTGGACATAAATTTCAACTTATTTGTGTAAATACCAAGGAGTGCAATTGCTACATCACATTTGAGAGTATGTTTAGTTTTGTAAGAACGTGCAGACTGTCTTCTAGACTGGTGCACCATTTTGCGT